ACGTACTCCTCGATGTCATGGTCCCGGGACTTCTACTCAGTATTTTGTGTTTCTTGTATTGTTGTCATTTGATGTTATTATGTTTTAGGTCCACCGTTTATTCTAAGGGTCCCTAGGTTGTTTTGTTAAGGTTATTAGATTTCCCCACGTATCTGTGAGTCCCCGTGCCTCGTTTCTCCTCCTTGTGTTTTATTCCAGCCCGTTATGTCTGTGCTCTCCCCGTGTTCTCTCCTCCCCTCCTGTCGGCGCCTCTGTGTACTTCCTGTTTAACTTTGACAGTCTCCCGTCAGTATGCGTCATGTTGTGTTTGCTCCTGCCCTGTCTCGTTATGATTATCAGTGTCAGCTGTGTCCCCTGTGTGTTCCCATGTCCCTCGTTATCCTTCTGTGTACTTATGTCCACGTCTCCCTCCGTTCCGTGTCGCATCCTCCCTCATGACTGTGAGCCCCGCCGTGTGTTTCCTCCTTTAGAATCTCCCAGTTTAGTTTTATATTATTTTGTCTCGCCTTACAGTGTGTTCACACCGTTAGTCTTCTGTCAGCAATAAAGCTGTATTTAGAGTTCAGTCCTGTTTCCTGTCAGTTTGCGTTTGGGTCCAATTCCTGCCTGCACACGGCCTGATCGTGACAATCGAAACTTATTGCAGATTATTTCTGATTGGATCACTTCCATACTTCACGTGTCATTATAATTTTGTCCTTGCGCATTTGTTTTTTGATTTTTTTGGTAATGTTTTCTTTTTGTCAGAAAAAAATGTTATTGATTAAAAACTATGATGAAAATTATTGGTCAACAAAAAATTTGAGACCCAAAAATAATAAAACTGAAAACTCGTCATGATTTCTTTTGTCTTCTCTTTCTCAGTAATAAAAATTAGCTTGAATGTGGAGGACTTGTCTGTGGATCTGAATGACAGAGCTGTCAAAGCAAACCTCCTAACAAAGGCAAGTCTCTGCAAGTTCTATAAGTGACAAAAATATTGTTAGGACTTCACTGTAATAATGCAATATGATTTTGTGCCTTATCTAAATGCTGAGATATAAAATAATGTCAGAAATCAAGCTGATAATTTTGATAAATCCTTCAGTCTTCAGGACCTTTGCTGTCTTTTTTGTGTGTTTTTAGTCACCTGGAGGCTTTAAAATGTTTACGTTTGTGTTTCAGCTGCAGGACAAACTGGAGGAAAAAGGAGTGAATGGAGTCAATCTGAAGTGGAGAAAGCTGCCTGATGGAGCAGTCTTCCATAAAGAGGAGAAAAATACTAAAAAGGAAGAAAAGAAGAAAACTGAGCTGTGAAATTTAAAACCAACTTTACTGCCGCTTACAGCTTAACAAATTTATCAGAGCACTATCTAGTGTAAGGTTGTTGATTCTCATTCCCACCGCTTCACAACTGGCTG